CTAGATGTTGCTATGAATTTTTTTAATATGAGAATAACATTTAAATAGGCAGACTTTGGCTGGGCACAGTGGCTCAAGTCTGTAATCCCTGCACTTTGGGAGGCCGAGGCAAGAGGGCTGCCTGAGTCCACGGGTTCGAGAACAACCTGGGCAACTTGGTGAGATCTTATCTCCACCATAAATAAATAAATAAATAAGCCAGGCGTGGTAGTGCACACCTGTAGTTCCAGCTACTTGGAAGGCTGAGGCGGAAGGATCGCCGGAGCCCAGCAGGTCGACACTGGGGTGGCCATGAGCATGCCACTGTACTCCAGCCTGGGTGACAGAGTGAGTACTCCAACTCAATAAATAAATAAATAGATAAATAAATAGGCAGAAGACTTTGAGTGAAACAAATTACTGTTTAAACAAATAATGTGAGTGGGCCTCAACCAATCAGTCGAAGATTTCAATAGCAAAACACTGACCTCCTCTGAAGAGGGAATTATTCCAGCAGACAGCTTTCAGACTTGAGCAACTCTTCCAGTCACAGGCCTGCCCTGCAGGTGAGACACTACCAAGCCTCCACAATCATGTGAGCCAATTCCTTAAAATACGGGAAGACACCCCAAAACCCCGGAATTTAATTATAAAAAATTGGGTATTTATTCTTACATGTATTCCACAAAACATGATTCCAAATGGTCAACCAAAGTTTCACCTGGAAGTTTTGAGGTTGTGTCACGATTTGTGGAAGAAACATCCCGAGTTGTGGCGAACAGGTCAGTGGTTCATCCATCACATGGAGAGCACTTTGAAAGTTACTGAAGTTTAAACATGTAAGAATAAATACACAATTTTTAATAAATTCTGGTCTCTCTACACATCCCATTGGTTCTGCTTATCTGGAGAACCGTGATTAATACATATACTGCAGTAGGTTTTACCACTGTTCACCAATATGTCTGGTTTTCTTTCCTTCTGGGTCCATGAAAGAATTGCATTTCTCTGAAAACTTAAACAATGGCCATGTAACTTGCTTTGGCAAATAGCATGGAATAGTGGTGGAAAATTTAAGAGCCAGGAAGTGATTCTCTATGCTCCTCCGCTGCAGTAGCAGGCCCTGGGTCCTCATGTTGAGATGGTGGAAACATAAGGTGCTCCCCGCTCAGTGCCATCCCCAGGTCACCCCCGGGTGACCGCAATCAGCAGAGTTCCACCTATTGGCCCCTGTGGACGTGGAGCATGAGTAAGAGTCATTTGTTTCAAACCACTGACATTTGGGGGTTATTTGTGACTGGCACACTACTTGGAAGGAAAGAGCCAAGACCCGTATCCTAGCAACATCCACTCAACTGTACATATTACAAATTTTTAATTTTTCTTCATTTTTGCAAGTTCAATAAAACTTCTATTCAATATAAACACTGAGTAGTGATGTGAAATACTATATGCACGTGATGGTAATAAAACTGTTTCTCTAAAATTACTTTATGTAAACTTTTCACAAGCTGGCCTCTCCTTCAGTCTCAATTATTGACATATTTTGCCAAACCCACCAGTATCCATTCCATTATAAAACTTGGAATAGAGTCCATATGGATTTGAACATTTTTGTACACTAGGCTCTGAAAACTAGTCTATCCCACCCAGCTGTTTCAGTGTTCTGTGGTTTTATGAAGCCCCTAGAACCTGTCCACCTTTCTATCTGCTATAACTTCCAAATTACTACTAAAACAAAATCCTTCAATGCTGCAGATGAATCAAAAATGGTCTTCAAATAAAACATGATTATTCAGTTAAATTACAGAAGATCTGGCTTTTGCTAGGTGGGGGGAAAAACGTATGAAGATGGGAGGTTGAACTACATGGGCCCGTGGGGAAACTGGGTATAAATAGATGATGATCAGATTTCAAATTTATTTGGCCTTGAGTTTATTTGGAATTTCAAGATATGAACATACAGTTGAGATGACCAAATCCATCTAAAATGTTCAGATTTTAAAAAGAATTGCTATAATTTTGGCCTAATTAAAAAAAAAAAAAAGGGATTTGACAATACTACTTTTCCCTGTAAAACCCAAACCTGCAAACTCAGTGTGGAGGTCATGAACAATGTCATATTTCCTTTTTTATCCCCATAAGGCATAGCACAGTGTTTTGACTACGGCTTTCTGAGTAGCTGGAACTACAGGCCCATGCCACCACGTCCAGCTAATTTTTTTATTTTTATGTTAAGGTCTTGCTATGTTGCACAGGGTTGTCTCAAACTCCTGGGCTCAAGCAATCCTCTCGTCTCTGTGTCCCAGGATGCTGGGATTACTGGTGTGAGCCACTGTACCTGGCACTCCTCCATCTTTCAGGACAGAGCCAGTATTGGTGAGGGCTCTCTCCACTGTCCTATCATAAGTGGCATGTGCCACCCTCAGCTGTGCACTTCTGCAGTCTCAGCCTCACTTTACCTGGACTTCAGTGGTCAGTCAACAAGAGATGCTTCTGGCAGCACTGCTGTGCACTACTACAAACAGGCAGCGGCTAAGTGGCTGTGGGATATTCAGACCCACCCTGCAACTCTTAGGAGGCTGTTGATCAGTGTGACCTTAGTAAAGGAAGCCAAAGGCATGCTGCTGAGCACACAGCCTCCCAAAGCAAGGACAGGGGAGGGAGAAACTGCAGTGTGTCTTCCTTTCACCAACATTTTTTTTTGTGGAGAAAAGCAGGGCCACAGCATGGGCTGGCACTTGCCTCTGAATACAAGAGCGGGCCAACACTCTGGAGGATCATTTGCTCCTAAGACAAAGGTCAGTCCAAGCATGGGCGTGTCCCTCCACAGTAAGGGAACAGACTGGATCTCTGGTCTGGAATGCTGTACGGAGGTCACGGTGAGTCAGTGTGACCATCAAAGACAATTTTCCCCCCAGAGGTTGCTTCTATTCTTACAGATGATTACAGCCTCCAGGGTGATAAGCCTCACACACCAAGCCTGAATTTAGACTGTAAAGAAATCCTGTAAACATTTGTTACTATTTGTCACATAATTAAGCACTCCTAGCATGCATTTCGTCCTGCCTTGAGCAAAAACCTTACGATGTAAACCATCTCTCAAAAACATTCCCTTCCTGAACGCTGAGATGAGTACATGAAAATCATACCACATGTCTGCCATCTGTATTTGTACTTGTCAACAGCTCTGTTTTGGGATAAACAGTTTTGAAATAAGAATCAATTCAACTTGTTGGAAGATTAGCCAAGGAATAGCTCAAAGACCAAAACAGAACTTGAAGTCAGATAGTCTGAAAATCAAGCACAACTTTTGTTTCTCACTAAACATTCTGTTTTGTCACAGCCCAAGAGAAAGAGCGTGGCAGCCTGGGTTGGGGGCACAGACTGGGAAAATATACTTACTCAAGAAAAAAATTCTTCAGCCTAGAATAAATGTCTTTGCTGCAATGCAATTGGAAATCATTCACTGACCTCTAGGAGACTACAGTTAAGAAAAAAAGTAATTTTAGTATTTACACTTTGTTTCACGGTTCTACCCTGTGAAGGTATACACAGGGGACAACTTGCGCTGGTCCAAGTGCATAATACAGTCCTTTATTACCATAAAAATGGTAGCATTTCCCAAAGTCGATCTTGATTAAAAGTAGTTCCATGGTTGAAAATGCGACTCCGCCGTACAGCCATTAAACCAGAGAGATGCCAAGGGGAAAATAAAGACTTAGACACCGAAGGGGAGGTCAGGGAAGAAGTTAGTGAAAATAGGATGCTACCTCTTGGTGGGAGACCACAACGGAGTTGCTTTGTGAGGCAGCTGATGTAGTGAATGAAGGGATGCGGTAACCTGGCAGCCCCACGTATTCTGCAAAACAAATGAGAACATGTGTGCTCCACTTGGAGGGACATCCATTTTCTCCTTAAAAGAAGTCATTTATAAAAGAGCAAATTGGTGATTTGTACTTACAGACTGGACTCTTTTCCAGCCCCTGTCAAGAAGTGATAAATTACTGAAGCATAACACAAAGTGCTTTATTTTCAGTGTGCACAGAGTAAAGGCTTGTGAAATGTTTCTGCTCACCTTTCCCGAGTAATTAATTAAAAAATCATTGTTTCCAATTACTCTCTGCTCTTTAAAATAAACCAAGACAAAATGCCTCATAGACCTCTCCAGAACCAGCACTGCCCCTTCCCTCCCTAATCCCGCCCCCACACCCTTCAGCCAGGGCAATTGTTTCAAACCACACCACCCTCCTGGAACAGGAATTCTGTTTACACCAGGAGGGAAGGGCAAGGCCAACACAATGCTCACAATATTGTCTGGTGTTCATTCAACCACAATGCCCAGATAGATCTGTTGTTTCTAGAGACAACCCAGAAGTGTTCAAAGAAAGAGAGTTGAGGAATGCTCGCTACTAGCTTGTGAAGCCCCCTCTGCAGGGGTCACGTACCCTGGAGGAACCACAGTATGCCAAGCAACATGAGGCCTGGTGCTCTGTTCCTGGACAATGTCATGCTCAAATACAGCTGTGAGGTTAGAGGAAGGCTTCCCTAAAGCCACCTGCCAAGCCAGAGTGAGGAGTAAGCCCTTTCCAGACCCAGCTTAGCAACTGGAACCTGGATGAGTTTCTATGCCCAGGCTGTGCTTTCACCTCACTGAGGGCCACAGCGTGCCCACAAACAGGAAAACAGCCCTGGTGCCGCGCTCCTAAGAGGGAGCAAGAGAACCGCAAGGGCCTCACGCACAGGAGGGTGGCAGGTGACTGCCCACAGGAGGCTCTGCCCCAACTGGCACGAGGTTTATCTTCAGGATTTCTCCAGCACCTCAATTCGAATTCCCACTCCTTTTGTGGAAGTGCTGCTGTCGGCTCCCAGTTCTGTTTTCTATCTAGGTGACTGACTCAGGGGCTGAAATTCTGACCTGTGGCCCCTTTTCATAGCCCCTGACTGAAACTAGATGCCTCTAGAGAACTTGGTCACCCTAGTATTCTATATGGCAAACAAAAGGATGAGCTAAGGGAGGATACCTCTAAAATGCTTTAATTGTATTTCCATACAGCATATAAAATATAAGCATCACTTTAGGCAGCCAGAGAAGAACACCAAATCAAATGAAATGACACTGCTTGAAATTTAAATAATCTTGTAGGAAGAGAGAGATTTTGTCTTTTTTATTCTTTAAGCATTTTGTACACTGATGCAGAGGTAAAAGAAACAACTGAAACTTAAATGTGAAAGATCATGTCACAATTATCCACAATTTTACATATTTATCTTACTCATGTCAGTGAAAAAAATTAACAACTACTATATAAAAACAGGACAAATTATGTCACAAAAAAGAAAAATAGAAAAAACTTCATAAAAAATATATCCAACTAGAAGAAGTACTGCTCTCTTGGTGTCTTCACATCCTTCTCTTCTGTGTGCTGATGTACAACACTGAAAAGGAAAAAGAAATAAATTGGGGGAAAAAAGCTGTTCTTAAGTATCAACAGCAAGTTTAAAAGCAAATGGATTTTGGTCTGACACCTCTGAAATTCAAAATGAATTCCCATACCATTCAATTATTCTAGAACCACTACAAGACTAGTCTTATGAATCTAGACCTGGGTTTGATATCTGATAAAACTATGTCCTAATCTTATCTATGTAACTGACTGACTCCGCAAATTGTGACAGGAAAAATAAACTATGTGTGAAAGTCCTTGGAATCTAAGAATGCTTTATAATTAGAAGTATAAGAACTATGCCTTTCAGAAAGTAAGCCAGTAAATCTACCAAGCTAGATTTCAAATTAAGAATAAATAGCACATTTTCAACCATCTCATTAATACAAACTCTAAACTTGCTATTTACCTTTTTAATCACAACAGGATACATAAGAGCTGAGGAGTTTTGTTTTGATACTAAAGTTCTTATGCTGAGTTCCCAGTTAAAAGTGTCAAACTTCAGTGTTACTCAAAGTTTTGCTCAGCCGGTCCTATCATGCTACCAAACTGAGGTCCCTAGGACATACGGTATACGAGACTAAGACAAAATTAGATGACAGGGTCACTCTGGTCAAGCTTTCACCAGAGGTGTTATCTCCAGTCCCACTCATGCTTACTCAGACTCTGACAGGTTTGTTCAAAGTGAACATTAAGAGATGTCTTGGTCAAAGAACACAGCACAGATTAATCAAGTAAGTCAGGATCCTTTTTAAGGGATAAAGACATGAACTTAACTGATTACATCATGGAAAAGGTGCTATGAAGAAAGCATCCAAATGCCAGCACAGCCCTCCTAGGAAACTGGACAGGTCCTAGGTACCGTTACGCATGTGAAAGGATCTGCCCTATCAATATGCACAAAACTCAACCATCTGGGGACTGCTCTCTAGAGATGAAGAAAGGCCATAACATTTCTTAGTAAAAGGAGGAAGTCAAACAGGAACAATATGAAAAATAGGGGAAGAAATTCTATGAATTGGATGGATTAGAAAGCAAGCAAAAGACATATATAAGAATATGATATGAAGAAATATGGTACTGTAAGAACAGGGCAGAATACTTATTGTAAAAATCAGAATGCTTAATTCATAGCAAAGAGACCCAATTGTTAAGGGAGTTGAAGACATTATCCTGAATTTAAAAAATCAATAAAAATCCATACTCAAGAATCCCAGCATTCCATTTGGGGGATGGGACCAAAAAGTGGGGATTGGCCATGGGATAATTCCTATAATTTTGATGCCTTTCACTCCCCACCAAAAATTCAAATATGACTTTATTGATAACTTTTGGCTTTAAACTAGGTACTTAAAAATAACCACAGTATGGACAACCCCCTCAGATCCCCTCCTGCTCTGGGAGCTTTTTTGTCCTTTCAATAAATCCTACTTAAAAAAAAAAATAATAACCACAATATCACAGCAATATATCAGCTGTTAAAAAACTGAGTGATTTTAGAACTATTTCTTGGGCTGGCTCAGTGGCTCAGCATGTAATGCCATCACTTTGGGAAGTTGAGGTGAGTAGATTGCCTGAGCCAGTGGGTCCAAGACTAGCCCAGGCAACTTGGTGAGACATCTCTCCAATAAATAAAAAATTAGCCAGGCATGGTAGCACATGCCTAAAGTTCCGGCTACTTGGAAGACAGAGGCAGAAGGATCACCAGAGCCCAGCAGGTTGAAGCTGGGTTGGCAGTGAGCGTGCCACTGTACTCCAGCCAGGGCAACAGAGTGAGACTCCAACTCAGAAAAAGAAGGAACTATTTCTCCTACCTATTTTGCCATTTTTGCCAAACTAAAGGTACGAATCTCCACAAAAGCATCTGAATGTTTGAGAAAGGATAAACATGACTAAGTGAAAACTATGCAGACCAAAGACAGCAGGGAAATGGTGCCCATTCTTATAGCTCCAACTTCTAGACTATGAGAGGCAAGAATAAGTGTTGGGAGAAGATAATAAACTATATTCAAGACAACAGGGTCGTGGGTCAGTATGCCAACGCCCCTCAGTTCCTCATCAGCAAAGGAAGGAAAGGAGAAAATCTAGGGCCCCAAACTCCATGAAGTATCTAAAAAATAACCGGTCACATAGAAGAGCTGAGATGTTATAAGCATTTAACGATAATCAAAACAAAGTTAACACCGAACTGGAACATTATCCAGAAAACCCTTTGGTGATCAGGATTACCAACAACAAGGTATGTTTGAATGCAGCACCAATGAAGAGGGGAGAAATGTTACCATGTTACCATTGTTTCCTCTGATAAATGCATCCCCGTACTTATTCTTCAGCTGGCCATTCACATATTCTTCTGTCTGCTCCAGGGCGATATTCATGTAGCCATCCAGGCAAGCCAGGACCCCTGCAGACAGATTTAGTCAAAGAGAAGATATGCAAAGCAAATAAGAGTGGAAAATTACAGAGCATACCTTAGAGCTGACAATCTCTTTATTCATTAGCTGTTAGATGTTTAATATAAAAATTCTCACTATAAATGAAACTCAATAGACTGAAGTGCAAAAACAACTCTGGCAATCTGAATGAAGGCCAGGGAAGCAGCCACACACCCTCTACTACCAGGAAAAGCAACCAACTGCCACTTCCCTCATGGTATGTATGATCACACAGCAACTTTTAAAGCACTCGCACAAGTAAGATGATAGGAATACCCCAACTAAAACACCATTCTTTAAAGCTAAGCCTAGGAATGGGCAATTAGGCATGAACAAATGATCCTCAGTTCCAGTGGCACCTCTTACTTTGCCACTAAGTGAAATACGGGTCTGGCAGATTTATTTCATTCTTTCACAACACCTACTGCAGCAGATGAATGTACTTCAGGGTTAAGAGGAAGTCTCCACAATCTGTTAAAATAATAGACGAGGAGACAGCAGGTGCTCCTGAAAGAACATCTCAAAGCTGTGACTCACAGGGAAGAGCAGCTTGAGAACAGAGGGCGACATATTGCATTGTAACACATTCCATTCTGTTTTGTTACAGTTGGAATATTTTCCAATCAAAACTAATAGAGAAAATGGCTAAAACATTCTAGGGTGCTTTCAAGGAAACAGTTTGAGTGCATCTTTTTAATTGTGTTAAGAGATGGTATAAATCTTGCACAATTTGACCTGGTAACTTTTTCCAAAAGATGAAAATCTGTACGCCTCTAATTCTGTCTCGAATTTAAAGTGGTATTTTTTAGAAAAAAAAAAATTTAAGTGAAGACAAACCTTCCAGATTCGATTCAATTAACCAAGTCAATAGCTTCATTTAAAGTCTTAACTTCATTAATATGCTCCTCACTCTCTGCCTCTGCCCCCATTATCCTCTAAACAAAAAAGTTTTCTGTCAAGATTGTGTGTGTCATGAGAGCATAAGATATTAATCTAACAGAATGCTGCTAGAAGCTGTAAACTTTCAAAGACTCAGAATGAATTGGGAACAATTATTTCCTGGCAAAGGAAGCTTAAGATACAACTTTAGTTTGCTTCCTGCTGTATTATTTTACATATGGATCACGATTATAAATGAGCAAGAAACTTCTGAGACATGACATCAAATCTATTTGAAAACCAAAGATTTCAAAATAAAATGTTCACTTCTAATCAAAACATCTTTTCTCACAGCAAAGTTTTTTTTTCTTTTAAAATCAACTTGCCCAGGTGGTTAGAAGTATAACTCCCTCCTTTCTCCATCAAACTTAAAGAGAACTGCTACAGAGATTTTTTTTTAACCACAAAATAAGCACATTCTTTTAGTAAGGCTGTCTCACAATATCAAACATTTTACTGTAATAATATAGAGGCCATGAAGAGACATTCATAAAGGGAAAAAAATTATGGTTACTACTCATGTGAAAGGCTGTTCAGTTTAACTAGTAAACAATAAATAAATAAACACAGATATTACTTGTTGCCAAGTAGACTGGAAAAGATGAGCAAAAGCTAAAAAAAAAAAGGGTTGGTGAGAACATGGAGAAAGATAAACCCCAGTGTCCTGATGAAGGCCACTTGGCACACTCTTTGACCCAGAAATCCTAGCACAGGGAATTTGGTCTAAAGAGATAGTTGGTCAAGTGTTCAAGATATATGTTAAAGAAGCAGAGTTGTTTATAACAGAAAAAAAAAAACCAAAAAAAAAAAAAAAAAACCCAGTAAACATCTAAATGTCCATTAATAGGAAATTGGTGAAAGACAGAAACAAAACTATGGTACATCCACACAAGGAATTCCTATGTAGTCATTAAAAACTCTATACTGCAAAGAACTAAACGTATTGTTAGCATTAAAAAAAAAAAAAAAAAAAAAAATCAGGCTGCATGCACAGCTGATTCCATTCATGTAAAATTATCTTATATGGAAAGTCAAAATTGGTAAGGTCGAATATCTCTGGAGGGTAGAATTTGGGGAGATTTTGCTTTTTCTATAGCTTTTCTCCATTATTAGCTTTTAAATTTCTAAAAATAAAACAAACATGTATTACCCTTATAAATAAAAACATTTTCTCTAAAGAGTATTGGGAAAAAAGCTGGTTTATCTATCTCTTCAATTAAGTGGTACTGAGAAGATACTGAATACAATGTCCTCACTCAAATCAATTATCAGAATCAACTCAAATCCCTAGAAGTCTATTAATTCCTTTTGACTCATCCAGCATTCATGAGAGGCAGTACATAGGGACTTTACAGTGTCTCAGTAGTCAGTATAAATCCATTAGTTTTGCTACAAAAATCAAATTACACCAGAGATAGGTTACTAATATAAAGAAACTAAATAGTACATAATCACCTAAATGCTTTCCTAACAAAGTATCTGAGTCAAGCTTGAATTTGAGTCCCAGCCCCTCCCTAACTAGGTGGAGATAATCAAGACACTTCAGAGGAATTATGTGAAAATAAAAATGTATTAAAATGACTATCACACACAGAATGTAGTAAGCTCTCGATAAATTATGTTTATATTTGTGGAAAAAGCTGAAGATATTACTATTACTATTTTTCTAGAAAAGAGTCTAAGAAAGAGCCACAAAACCCTATGCTATGGTTTAAATGTGTACCCTCCAAAATTCAGGTGTTGCCAATACGATAGTATCAGAGGTGGGGCCTTTAAGAGATGAGCGGGCCATGGGGGATCTTTTCTCATTCGCGGGATGAAGACCCTTACAGAAGAGGCTTTACGCAGCATTCCACAGCTGGTCCTTCAGTCGTGTAAGGACACAGCATTCCCTCCCTCCGGAGGATGCAGCCCTCACCAGACAACTGAACCTGCTGGTGATCTTGGATTTCTCAACCTCCACAGCTGTGAGAAAATAAACTTCTGTTTCTTAAAAAGTACCCAGTCTGTGGTATTCTGTTATAGCAGCTAAACAGACTCTGCTAATGAATTAGCTATACCTGTGAAATATTCCAGGTTTATTAACATACTTTAATTTTGGAAGATTAGAAATTTAGTAACTTTAAAAAATGGAATTTGATAATTCTTCCCATAAAGTTAATTTCAGAAGTATCATAGTCTCTTAAAAAACATATTCTCTACAAGAACAGAGAAGCATCTTTGGCTATTCCATACATTCTATGAGTGGGAAGTTCATGTTGTAAAATGACACTGTCTAAATAGCTGCTTGCCGATCTTGAACACCTCTGTAAAGACAAAAGCTGCCATACCAAGATGTTCTTCGTCTAGTTGTTCACACCTGGCTATTAGTCAGGAGCTTAGTCACATGTGATTTCAACGCAGAGACAGGAAACAGAAGTCACACAAATCACGCTAAAAGTCAGAAGTACACACTCTACTGTAGCTGTCTTTCTAAAAGGAACCATCTCAGAGGAAGAAAAAGATGAACATGAACTGCTGACCACCAATACTTTTTTGTAAGAGAGGAATAAAAATCAGTAAGTCACATTTACTCATTTATACTAGTGAAAATGAAACATGAAAATATTACCTCGATAATCCACTCCAGAATTTAATTTTACCACAACTGGCCGCCCGATGATTTGCTTTAAGAAGTCACTAGGGGTTTGCTTCCGAAGACTCATTTTAACAATCCTAATCAGAAATATGAAAAGGAGCAATAAAGGTAAAGACAAAAGTTGATTATTCAACAAAAAAACCTTAAAGCCGTAAACATATTTACATATTTTCAGTCCTTATTAGGAGCCAGATACCAAGCTAAGCATGCAAATGGACTGTCTCATTCAGTCCCCATGACAACCCCATGACATGGTCTGCAGAGATAGCCCTGGGTTTACAAAGCACCTGCTCTTAACCACTTGTCACAACTGCCACTTGTCACAACTGCCTCACACACAGTCAGTATACCCACTACAACCACCACCATCCATGCATTCAATGGTTATTTCATGCTGAGATTCTGCTGAGGTTGCTATACATACTAGCAAATGTAATCTTTACCAGAACCCTGGGAAGAAGGTCTTAACATTCCTATCTTGCTGATGAAAATAAAGGCACAAAAAGATTAAATAATTGGCCCCAAAATGTGATAGAGCATTCAAGCTCAAGTCAGTTCTATTTATTACATAGGGTAGATATCTATGAACAACTGATGCTAAATGCTATCTCTGAAAAAAATAATTACCATCATAACCTAAAGCTAACATTTGAGTGTACCATATACCAGCACTTTTCCAAGCACTTTGTATATACTAATCCATTTAAATTGCACTACCCTATAAGGTAGGTGTTGTTTTCATCCTCATTTTACAGGTGATGAGCTAGACACAGAAAGGTTAAACACCCTACTCAAGGTCACACAGCTAGGAAGTGAACAGCCAGCCCATGCACGTAATCACAATCTTAACGGCTTTCTGAAAGTCACTAATGCAGCCAAAGATTTTTAATTACTCTATTATAATTATACCAGATATGTTCTCCAAATAAAAAAGGAAAAAAATCTTAAAATTCAGTCTAAAATGAGTCTAAAATAAAGAGACAGCATTACACACCCAAATTAATCATATCAAAGTAGCCCATCACTCCTTTCAAAATCCACCTTTTGTTATAAACAACTATCTCTCTCAAAATATTTTGATAAATTAACAAAACTGTAGTTACTTAAGCAAAAACTGAGCATAAAAAAATTTTGGAAATGAATTGTTTTGTTTCAGTCAAATTCAACATCATTATTTAGTAGCCATATAGTACTGAGACTTAAAAATCTGTATGAACACAGTGTTTTAAGGATTCTCTTCAAGATCTCAAGTTGTTCTTTGTTTTCAAATTTTTCATTAAACATTCTTCCATTAATAGCACTGCTTATTTCACTCCATGTCCATCCACTCAATAATCTAAACTTGCATGTAGTAGGACTGTTGTTTAGAGATATTCTCAAAGTGAATTCATGCAGGATCAGCAAGTAGAGCAAGATGGAACACTAGGTTATTGGATTTTCATTTGTTCAACAAATATGTTCCTGTACACACTAGGCAAGGAAATTCAAAATCATGTCATACACAAAGGCTCTGACCTTAAACAATTTAAAATTTAGAGGACTTAGAACTTAAACGCTTGTTCAAAGAGGGTACATAAACAAAAGTAATCATAATTTAAGTAAAACATTTCCTTAACCAGGAAAAGCCAATATCCTAAGTAAAATAAAAGAAAATACAAACTTCAGAAATGATTTTTGAATTTTGGACTGTCATTTGGATTATCCACACTAGCTCCAAGGCTTGCAAGATGTTTTTAAAATGTGATCAACTGATTATTTTGCTCAACAAATTTTAATTTAACTTTTCCATTGAATTGCCAGCTTATTTTTTCAGTTCCACAATCTCAGTAAGTAACTAAAATTACAACTACTATTCAGGACAACCACTATTCATTCATTCTGAACTCAGACCACACAACAATTTTATGCTGTTTTGAGTACAAAGAGAAAAATTACAAAGTAAATACTGTAACAGATTCAGTACCTTTAATGAGTTTGGTTAAAAACAAATAAATCTTCCCATTCATCTATAAACTTCCTTTTTATGTTTAAACATGGGCTGCTTTGCGGCTGAACACATCTAGAGAGAATATTAACTCTGAAAGCCTGATATACTCATGAGTCTTACATTTATTTCCTATCATAGATACCAAATCCCATTATGTCAGTTTATTCATGCACAAACTGAGATAAAACTAGCTGTTTGTGTTTAAAAAAAACAAACATTAAAATCCATTGTGATGTGGAAATCTAGTTCACAGGGCTATTATAGACTAATTATTAGCAGTTTCACCTACTCCTGGACTATTTACAATTTTGGATGAAAAAAAATTTGAAAAGCAAAAATTGGAAGGAGAGTTCAAAATTAATGACCATCAGAAAAATGAATACAAATCTAGAGTATCAGTTGTGTTTGACAGTACCGGTTATTTTAAAGATGTTATTAACTTTCCACACCGTTTTAAAAACACAGGTATGTTCTTCTAAGCTCACCAAAGACAAACCTCTCCATTAAGCCTCATCTTTAGTCCAATTAACACCAATATCTTCCTGGAAACAAGCAACACTTCCAGCTTTCAGGGAGCACCTGCTAAGCGTCAGGCACACAGAGCTGTGGATGTCACACAGATAAGACATGGCCCTGGGCCCTCAGAGTTTATATTCTGGAGGGAGCAAAAAACACGTGAATGGAGGATTTTACAAAGGTGGTACATGCTTGGATACAATTATGCACAGAGGACAGGGCAGAGAAGATTTTTGCCCCAGACAGGCAGATCAAAGGATTACTGGGATGACAACACCTGAGCCAAATTTGAAGGCAAGCTGAAAGTGGTCCCCCAGCAAAAGAAGTCAAGAAGGGCACTGAACACGTGCTCAGGTTTGAGGATGAACATTTCACAGGCAAGGAGACAGGGCTGCAGAAAAGGGCCGGGCCACAATGATAGAGAGCCTCTAGGGCAGCTTCCCAAACCTGAATCATGTGGGTCACTTGGAGATTCTACTGGGAGTTCTAGAGTGGGACCCAGGAGCCTGTTTGCACAAGCCTAGGAAATTCTTACGAATTGGCATGTGAGAGAAGGACTGCTGTCACTGGTGGAAACGGGAGGGTTCTAAGCAGGAACTTGGTCCATTTTCTGCTTGCGACAGCACAGTGCAGCTAGGCCATCTCACTTTGTTCTGACATCATGTAGTTTGGCATTTAGTTTTAATTGATATAACCTGTCACTATGTACACTCTTCTATATCCTTTATTTTTGTTTATATAGGTCTTTTCTCCCTCAAAATACTGAAAGTCACATAAAAGGAGGGACACTAACAAGCTTCTCAGTTCTCCTGAACATCTACATTCTACTAAATCTCTTGAAAAAATACTTTAAACATTATTTGAAAAGAGTACGGCTGCCTCCAACACATTGTATCCATCACTTTGCAAAGTCGTATCTTTTACATTACTCTTCATTAGGCTTCTTTGGTACTCCCTGTTACTTAATGACTTGCCCATAAATCCATTTTGTATGAGTAAATTGGTCTTGACACCACAATTTTTCCCATCACTTGGCTCAAGTAATTTTAAGTTTTCATCTTTTAAATTGGATGAGGCAGAAGTAACAGCTCTGACAATTTCTGAAGCAAAAGATAAGACTCTTGAACCATAAACACATAAGAGGAAAAGGACCTTTCTTCAGGGTCACCTTGGTAAAACTTCTCCCTTCAAAATTAAAGTCATAATCACTCTCCATACCTCCTCTCCCTCCCCTGACTCCTACTCAGGCTTGTTTTAAATGACCTATTTTCATAAATGGCAATTAAGCCAAAGGCAGTATATTTTCTGTCATAAGCTACTGAGAGATCCAGTATGAGAACATCTGCAATCTGCTCTGCAGAGTTTTTTTTTTTAAATAAAAGAATGGAGAAAAAAAGAACCAATTTTATTCATCTAAGTGCTAGGCATGTCGGATTCATAAACAACTCACATAGAAACCCTGTGAGGTAGAAAGTCAAGCCAAGACTTGACCCCAAAAGCCCAAGTCCTTTCAAAGGAACAGCTACCCTTCTGAACACGCTAAGATTCTCCTGTTAAACTGAAAAACGACCACAGAGATGGTGAAGGAGTGGTGAAAAATCCAGGTGAAGAGCAGGAGCACTTGGGGAAAAAAATACCCAACTGGCAAAACCCCAGAAATGAGGCTGCAATATAATGACCAAAGGGAAAGAAAGAGATCTAATGTGATTTTGAATTATGCCACAGAGCAGAAGACACAAAATTCTTATTTTTTGGCAATGTGACCTGTACACTTTCTCCTTTTCCTGGAGTGTAAACTTTCACCCTATTCATAGTTTAGGGTGAAAAAAATTCAAAAGCAAGAAATTGCAAGGAAACATCACAATGCCAGTAAACACAGCACTGGACTAACAAATCGTCTGAGTTGGAGCAGACACTGAGAAGAACAGTGCTCTCAGTAGCCGCCCTCTGAGATCCTGGAGTGCCTCACTATTCCTTGAAGGCACCATCCCAATCCCTCCTTCCCACGCAGTGGGGGCTACTTCCCTCCCTTCCTCTCAAGGGCCACATGAATCCATTCAGAGCCCCTCTTTCCACTCTGTGTTGGCATTTATCAGGCTGTTTTATAATTTTCCTGTTTGCTAACCAGTCTCCCATGGTGGTTCTAAGCTTCTCGGAGACAGAAAAAACATCCTAATTATTTGGTACTCCTGCACCTAGGACATTGCCCAAGTCTGTGGAAGACATACTCAAGGCCAGCAAAATCTCTGTGCCATCCTCACAGCCCAAACTATGGGTACAGTACAGTAATCATGCATGTATTTCAACAGCTACCAGAGATAGAAGTATCTCTATAATTGACCACCAAGTAAAAGAAAGACAGAGAAGATAAAATAGAAACGCTTCTGTATTATTCAAGAATCAGCTGCATCCAAATCTACAGAGATGCATGTTAAAATATAGATTCTTGGCTGGGTGCCATGGCTTATGCCTATAATCCCAACACTTTGGGAGGCTGTGGTAGGAGAACTGCTTCAGCCCAGGAGTTCAAGAACAGCCTAGGCAACATAGTGAGGTCTTGCCTCGACATAAAAATTTTAAAAATTAACTGGGCAGTGTGCAGTGTCTTGGAAGGCTGAGGCAGAAAGGTCACTGAGCCCAGGAAGTGGAGGCTGCAGTAAGCTGTGACGGTGCCACTGCACTCCAGCATGGGCAACAAAGTGAGACCCAGACTCAAAAGAAAAGAAAAAAATGCAGATTCTTGAAATCTACTCAAGAAAAAAGGAACCATGTTTTACATTTTATTAAATTCCCCAGATGACTCCTATAAGTAAGTGGTCTCAACCTGGGTGATTTTGCCTCTCACTCTCGTGGACATTTGGAAACGGCTGGGGACACTGTGAAGTGTCAGAATTGAGAAGGCTGGTGCTACCAGTATCTAAGTAAGCAGAGACCAGGGTGCTGCTAAACATACTACAACCTACAATGTGCAGGATACCCCTCCACACCAAAGCATTACTCAGCCTAAAATGTCAATGGAGGTTGAGAAATCCTGCTATCAGCCCTATATTCAAAAAAATGTTGTTCTTTGGTCTTAAAGCAAGGAGTTTAAGAAGGTGGAGTGTATATTATAACTTTTTAGGGATGTTTTATTCCTACAAATAAGGAATCAGAAAACAACTGTAAAATCTTAAAGGGGCTGCCGTTCTAAATAACTGACTTTTAGTCCAGGCCACAAAAATGTTCATGTTCCCATTCACATTGTTATGGGTCTCTCAGATGACTAAAATCTTTGTTAAGACTTTGTTACTCAGGACAACTTTAGAAGGAGAGAATAATCCAGGTGATGTAAACATATTTTAAATTCTATTATCTAGTATGCCACAGTTCAGTGAGAGACTGCCTGAAACAGCACGGGGGAGTACTCACTCAGGAGGCAGGAAACCTGAGTTCTAATCCCAGCTCTGCTACTTAATTAGCTGTGTGACTTGGGTAACTCATCATTTCACCTCTCACGACCCCAGGTTTCTCATCTGCAAAATAAGGGAGTGATGCTAGATGACCACTAAAGTCTTTTCCTGTGCTAACATTTAGTTAGCCAATGCAGTAACTCCAATAATACACACACACATATGCCTCTGAAGATTCCTGCATCAAATTCCAGCAAGCAGAAATGCCAGACACCACCCTCAAAAGTAATTCCAAAGTGAGGCTCCACCTTGCTGGTTGATGTTAGCAATGTATTACACGCTACCACACTTTTGGTGAAACAAGCAGGTACAGTCGGACATGAACGATGTAAACTACTAAAACTTTTTTTGGAAAACAATGTAGCGATGTCTATGAAGACCTAAAGTAAGATCTTGGATCACAGCATCTAATCTGAGAATTTCACTTCTGAGAATCTATTTCAAGGAAATAAACTCAAGAACGGGGGGAAAGAAGCTTACCAAAGTACTATCTGGATGCTAAAATGATGCAAAAACTCAAAAACCAACCGAAATGCTCCCAGTCTGGAAATGGTTAAATAATTTATGAGACCTACAGTGATGGCCTAGGCAGCCAATCACAGGAAGATGCAAAATCAGAAGGCTACTTAGGACGTTTTTAAATGGAAGTGGAAACCAAATATCCTATTAAGTGATAACAGGTGCCGTCTGAGTTCAAGTAGAAAACCAGCACATCCAAGAGAAAAGGAAATTGTTGGTGAAAACGTTCGTGAGTAGGATTTTCTTCCTGAAAGTCTTCTGTTTTCAGTTTTTCCACAATGGTCACGTGTTACTAAGGGGGGCAGGGTGGGGTGAGTCACTAGGACCACCACTCGAGTCATCCTAATCGCAGGCACCCTAAACAAAGGCACGTGCTGTGCTCGCGCGCAGGCGCGCGGACACACAGGGACCCCTGGCGATAGGACTGAACGCCCTACGAACGTGGGGACCCCTGACAAGTTGGAGTCTGGCTCTTAGTCCCCACCCCGAGGCGGTGGAGGCCCCGCCATTCCCTGCAACCCTGGAAACCGGGCGAGGCCCGGGCCTGGGTCCGGGGTCCGGGGTCAGCTTTCCCGCCGGGCCCCGGGGAGGGCGTCGGGGCACCCCGGTGGAGCTTCGACTCCCCGCAGCGGCCTCGGAAGCCGACTGGGTGGCAGCCGGGACGGAGCCGCTCGCCTTCCAGCGGCCAGGCCGCGCT